CCTCGGGGCAGCCGTGTGCTGGTGGCCTGGCTGCGGGTATGGCTGTTGAGATGTGTCTGAAGGATCCTGCTGTGTAACCATGACTTTGTTCTAGTAAAGGAAACGTTTCTTTTTTTCTCTTGTTTTTTTTTTTTTTTAATCACTTATTCTTCAGATGGCCAAGATACCATCTTGGTGACTGCTGGTGTGGGTCTCCAATATTTCACCTTCACCATTTACTATATAAATACATCCAAAGTAAGATCATATAGCAACATATTTATTAATCAGATTATGAAAGAGGTAGAGGGAAGAAGACAAAGCAGGTGCATTTAGCCATAACGGTGTATCTCGTTGGAAAGCACTGCGTTAACGGGAGAATACCCCTGCCCTTCAGCTGTGGTCTCAGGTAAGCTGGACTACTGGGGAGCAGCTTTTTTTCTCCGTTTGGCTCGCTTTGGGCTTTGTCGTTCTTCATTTGCTGACAGCGAGACGGTTTGGCTCTCCATGGGCAGTAAGGAGCAGGGCACAGAGCAGCCGTGGGAGCAGAGGAGATGGAGAAGATGGCATGAGCATCGCGGTGGGTGCTGCCTGGGAGAGCCTGAGAGGAGGCGAGCGCTTGCCGCTTTCCAGGGGGACATGATTGCCTCTGAAACCCAAAAGGGAAGCCCTGGGGCTGTTTATGTCCGCTGTCACCTCCCCCAGCCGTTTATCCCTGAGTTTGAGCTCGCACCAAAAAAGTGTAGCATAGCTGGAAAAGCCTGTATATGTGTTTTTAGTTCATGTTTCATTCCATTGCTGTATGAGGTTTCCCACTCTTGGGAGGTTATCCATGGAATAGCAAGCAAACCTTGATGCTGCAGTCCAGGGAGCATTAACATCTGCTAATGGTTAAAGCCTTTTTAAGGCCACTTTGGTTTAGGGAGATGTTGATGGCGTTTCATCAGCTCCACTAAGAACAGAAAGTTATTGGTTTACCCTAGTGATTTTAAGTTTTTGGCTACAAGAAGCATGTTAAGTTCTTCTTTCAGTTGTGCGTCTTCCTACTTTTCCAATTTGGGAGAAAGCAGGATGCAGAAGAGACCTAGGAAAAACTATGCAGTTTTTCTGCTAAGATCGGTCTTCTGTTGTCTGGCTGCCCGCGATTGTGAGACTTTGGATTTCATGAGTCAGGCGGTCCCTTTCAGTCCTGTGAGCCTGCTAAGTCAGGCTTGACAAAAAAAAAATGCAGCTCTGAAGGCAGATAGTGAGCCCTGTTTACCCCCATTCATCCCCCAGGACCCTCTGCCATTGGGAATGAGCAGTGCTGTGTTTGAGAGACGTTTGCTGGTGACCGGGGCGGCTTGCAGCCCTGCTGACATGGGAACGGGGCTCGTCCGGCAGGAACTAGCTGACTTCCAGCTGTTGCGGCGGATGAAAAGGGAGCTGCTGGGGCTGCAGCAGGGTGACTCTGAACCCTGCTTATTGTAGATATATGAAAGAGCAGAAAAGCCTGCAGTTCCTTGGGTGCAGACCATGAGGCTCTTCCCTCGGAGGCTGGTGTCAGGGGGCTCTCGAGAGCTAGAGCAGAGATTGCGTCTCTCCTGCCTGGGGCTCTGGTGCTTGCTGAGCGCTCGCTGCTGGCTCCTCTTCGCACCAGTGCCCAGGTCCTTCGCAGGCCAGCTCGAGCCCGGGGAATTTGTGGCAGAGGGCTCTTCCCTCCTGCAGGCCAGCCCATGCATGCTTTTTAGGGCCACCTGCGTGCTTTTCCTTTTGTTTGCCACCAAAACAAGCAGTGACACGCAGGTGGTGGTGTGACCTGCAGCTGAAGTCCCAGCCCGCTAAGCCTTGAGCAGCACTACGGGGATGCAGCGGAGCGCAGCGCGGGCGGCACAGCTCGCGCAGGCTGGGTAAATATATGGGAACTTGGTCGCGGTGCATGTTCCCCCAGCAGTGCCCTGCCTGCGATGAGCGTAAGGGCTAGCTCTGCTTCACAGAAGAAATTCGTTACCTCTTGCTGTCACCAACACAGAATAAGGCGTTAGTTAGTTGTCCACCTCATAGAAGGCATGCTCGGTCCCAGACGGATGGCAAGGTCTGGTAGCAGCGGGCAGCCGTATCAGTGCCTCAGCTTCTCCGTCCCACCAACGGAGGGACGTTGGCACAAGCGAGCAGAGCGTGGGATGTGCATGCAGATTTCTGGAGTCAGGCGTACGTCTTCCCGACAGATGTTGTAGCACTGCTGTTGGGTCACTGTTTCCAAAATAAACTCAGTCTGCTGCTCGCTTTGGGCGGATGTTCCCACAAGCTCTCACGAGGTTTGTTCTAGGTATCGGAGACCTTGTGGGGGCCTGTCCCCCTTCAAGATGATGTACAGGGCTGGGATGTGAGGAGGGGTGAGAAAAGAGTGTATGGTGATCGTTGCACCAGGCACTAGACTTCCTTTACCCTTGCTCTATGATCATGTACTTCAAACACTAGTGGTTTACAATAAACAGCCACAAAAGGGCAGTCCTCAGCCCCAGTGGACAGACCTTGTTGTCTGGGGAGTGATCCGTGCTGGGGTAAGGTATGACCATCTTTGACATGTCCTTCGTACCTGGGAACGAGGAAGGAGGACCTGAAATCGCAGTAGCTGAATGCATCCCTATCAATGGCTAAGAGAGCTCCTGATGACCAAGTCCAGATGTCAAGGTGTCAGTTCTGCTGTGGTCGCTGGCTTTATTCTGAGGGTTTGGGTGGACGTCCTGCCCCTGCAACCCAGTGGCCTTGCTGAACAGATAATGTAGGTATTTGCCCTGGGTGCAAAACTGAAAAAGGGCTCCTTATTGTGGGGAGATGCAAGCGATTTCCCAGAACTCACAGCCTAAAGCCCCTTGCCATGGCTCTGTTTTTTCTGGAGGAACAGCCTCAGTGCCAACACACTGCCGCACCAGCCGAGGTCTCAGGTGGTTGCACTGAGCCACAGCTGTTAGCAGGAGAAAACAGCTTTAGTGCTTGGTGTCTGCTGTATGAGACTTGACAAAGCACTTCGATCACCCCACCTGGGTACTGGGATGT